TCTCTGTCCTCAGCACCTGGAAAAGCCAGAGATGTTCTTGACCAAGCTGACTGACCTGAATTCACAGTAACCCCATGGGCAGGTAGCTCTCCTCACCAGGGCTACCCAGACAGCCCGTGCAGACTTGCTATCAGTCCCAATTCCACAGGGCTTACTCTAGCCCCACCCCACCCTCATTTTTATGTTCCTCCAGTGGTGAGGCTGTGCCTGGCTGTCCCGTGGCTGCAAACCCAGCCCTTCATGTCTCCTCCTCACTCATCCCACCCAATGTGTACATGATGCATTGGTGGGTTGTCTGCCCTCCACCTCCCACCACCATGACGGCAGGACCTCTTTGTCACTGCTGAGTTACTTCCACCTAGGAGTGCCTGGCAGGTAGCAGGCACGCAAATATTTGATACATATTTCTCTTTTTTTTTGTCCTGTTTAGTTGCCTACATCCCTTAAAGTATTCAAAATTCTTCTCGACATAAAAGTATAGCTGAAGTAGAACCTTTCTGAAAAAGATTATGGCAATATGTATCAAAAAACTTTAAAGTCCAGCTGAAGAAAATTGTTTTTAAGTGGACTAAGATGCATGCATAAAGATTTATGGATCTTAATTTGTAATCTGAAAACAGATGTCAAGAGCAGAAGAATTGAGTAAATAATTACACTTTTTACCACTTGCCGTCTATTTGGGTGACCTAACCTCTCCAAGTATACCTTGGTTTTATCATCTGTAAAATGGGTGTAAGAGCATGAAACCCCAAGCAGCACCTGTGGCTCAGTGAGTAGGGCACCAGCCCCATATACTGAGAGTGGCAGGTTCAAACCCGGCCCCTGCCAAACTGCAACAAAAAAATAGCCAGGCGTTGTGGCAGGCAACTGCAGTCCTGGCTGCTCAGGAGGCTGAGGCAGGAGAATTGCCTAGCCCGAGGAGTTGGAGGTTGCTGTGAGCTGTGATGCCACTGCACTCTACCAAGGGTGATTAGGTGAGACTTTGTCTCTAAAAAAAAAAAAAAAAAGAGCATGAAACCCCCTAGGGCTGTTGTGAGGAATACAGTCCAAGTACACGTGTCTTCATAAGGCATCAGCACACAGCACTCAGTGACCATCAGCCTTTCTTACCATACAATTGATCCTTGGCCAATGAGGGGGTTGGGGCACTGACCCCTCCTCACAGTCAAGAATCCTCATATAACTTTTGACTCCCCAAAAGTTAACTATTAATAACCTACCATTGACAGGAAGCCCTACCAATAACATGAAGCAATGATGAATATATATTTTATATATGTATTATATACTATATTCTTACAATGAAGTAAGCTAGAGAAGAAAAAAGTTATTAAGAAACTCATCAGGGGCTGAGCACTGTGGCTCATGTCTGTAATCCCAGCACTGTGGGAACCCAAAGCAGGAGGATTGCTTCAAGCCAGGAGCTCAAGACCAGTCTGAGAAACACAGCGAGTGACCCCGTCTATACAAGAAACAGAAAAATTAGCCAGGTGTGGTCATATGCATCTGTAGCCCCAGCTACTCAGGAAGCTGAGGCAGAAGGATTACTTAAGCCCAGGAGTCTGAGGTTGCAGTAGCCATGAGGAGCTGACCAGGGCGCTGCTCTCCAACCAGTGTAACAGAGCGAGATACTATCTCTAAAAAACAAAGAAAATCATAAGGAAAAGAAAATACATTTACTATTCAAGTGGAAGTGGATCATCATAAAGGTCTTCGTCCTCACATCTCCATTGAATAGGCTGAGGAAAAGGAGGGATTGGCTCCGGGTGGCAGAGGCGGAAGAGGAGGAGGGTAGAAGGGGAGGCAGGAGAGGCGGGCACACTTGATGCAACTTTACAGAAATGTATAATTTCTGTCTGACTTCTTTGCTTTTTCATTTTTCTAAAACTGTTCCTATGTGGTCCCAATCCTTCTTCCACCATTTACTTTAGTTTCAATGCCCATATCATAGAAAGGTCCACGTTGCAAAAAAGTCAAAAGCAGTCCTGGATAATGTGACGGTGGAAACCGGTTGTCTAACGTTGGTCTGCCTCCCAGCACTGCTTCTTCTGTATCTCCGTTCCATCATCTGGCACTGGCTCGGAAGCACCTTCACCAAGTTATCATCTGGCTCTTCCTCTCGTGTGGTGTCTATTAGCTACTGAGTTTCTGCAAGATACATATCTTGAAACCCTTTACACAACTTTTTTGCTACATCCACAATCTCCTTCATGATTGTAAAGAGACTGTTGTAAATCTGGTGAAGTCATGCACAACAGATTCCTAGTTCTGTCCAGCAGGAATTTATTATTTCAGGCTTCATGACTTTCACGGCGTTTTCTGTAACAACAGCATCTTCAAGTGTAATCCCTCCACACTTTCACTATGTTCCCTCTCTTAGGGTTCTCTTCCATAGCACTGACAATCCTTTCCATAGACTACCATGTGTAATGAGCCTGAAAGGTCCTTCCTATCCCCTGACCTAGAGGGTGAATTAGAGATGCTGGGTCTGGGGACAAGTATACCACTTGACCACCTCTGGTGTTGAACACTGGGTGGCCCAGGGCATTGTCTAGTATCAAACTGGCAAGGTACTTCCTAGCTTCACGGACAAAGCACCAATAGAACTATCCTAGAAAGAATGTCCTTGTATTCCCAGCCTTCCTGTTATTCAACCAGAAGTCTGGCACCTGGGGTTCACCAGCTTGAAAGATGAGGCCTGTCAGGATCACAGACCCCACTGCATTTGCACAAAGCAGTAATCTATATCCCTTCTTGCCTTAAATCCTGGTGCTTGTTTCTCTCTATTACTAATTAATTTCCTTTTGGTCCCGAATAGGACTCTTTCATCGGCATTTAAAACCTGTCTAGGCAGATATCCTTTCTTTTCAACAATTTTAATGGCATCTGGTACCTCATCTACTGCCTCCTGGTCAGGACAAGCTGCTTTTCCTGTTATTTTTTATGCCAAATCTCTTTCTAAAATTATCAAGCTGTCTTTTGGTGACATTAAATCCTCCAGCTTTAGGTCTTCCACCTTCCTTTTGCTTTAAGTTGTCGTATAGTGACTTCGCTTTTTCCCATAAAGTCTACAGGTATGCCTTTCCCGTAATAATCCTGTACCTACATAAAAGCTGCATTTTCAATAAGAAATAAATTATTTCTCACAAAGTGCAAGGTTTTTGCACTTGCTGGCATAGCTGCAGCAAAGGCTTCACAGATCTCCTTTTTTTTAGGGTGTTCCTTACCCTGGATTCATTTATCCTGAAATGGTAGACAACCACAGCTGCAGACTTCAATCTAGAGGACACAGCAAGCAAGTCAACTTTTTCTTGTAATGTCATGGCTTTTTTCTGCTTCCTGGGAAGACTTCTTAGCACCACTGGTGGCATTTCATATGGGTCCCACTGTGTTATTCAAGGTTTACAACAGTGCAGTAAACATGATGAAAATTCCACAAGAGATCACTTTCTACTTCCCCACACAATTTACTGGAAAGAGGAACTGCTCAGACAGAGATGATTAGCATCTCATGGCATTTTAAGCAGACGTTACACTTTAGCTCAGCCCAATAGCAACAGAAGGTGACTACAAAATCACTACAGCAGTATAATATGTACCAATTTTGTGCAATTATGATTTAATACTGCATCTTTACAGTTGTTTACATTTCTCTCAACTAGGAATAGCATCATGTATGGCCTGTGTGTGAACTAAATTTTGATTAAGTTTTTATAATAAACTTCAACTTTTTATGATAAACTTCTGTATATTTTATGGTAGTAAATGACAAAATAAACTAGTATCTATATTTCATGCATTCATAATATACATCTTATTTTTTTTCAATATTTCTAGGCTACAAAAATATAGCACTGACAATCCTTTCCATAGACTACCATGTATAATAAGCCTGAAAGGTCCTTCCTATCCCCTGATAGAGGGTGTATATTTCTGGGCTACATATTTGTAAGGTTTTTCAAACTGTTGCAAACATCAAAAAAATTTTCCAATTTTTAAGTGAAAAAATGTGCATGTAAGTGGGCCTGTGCAGTTCAAACCTGTGTGGAGGTCAACTGAACTTGTTTACATTATTGTTATAATACATACAATTCAATGGAACATAATTTCAACCATTCAATAAAAAGGCTTATAAATAATTGCTTAAGACTTCAGAAAATGCCTAAAATGGGATGCTAAATAAACAGAAGGCAGGGTCAAAATTTTACATACTATATGGTCACAAATGTATTTTTTAAAGTGTACATAATTTATGACCATGAATAAGAGTGATCATCTCTGGGTAGGGATATTAAGAAAAATAAAAGGATAGTGCCTGTGGCTCAAATGAGTAGGGCACCAGCCCCATATGCCCGAGGTGGCAGGTTCAAACCCAGCCCTGGCCAAAAAAGGAAAAGTGAAGAATAAAAAAGACTGGCCCAAAAGTATGAGAGAAATTACCTGAAACCACATGGTCCACCCTACACATCACCTCTTGTGTACTCAAGACAATCCAGCAGACGACAACCTCAACTCTAAGCAGAGCACTGACCACCCCTGACTTGCCCCTGAAGACAAAGCTCTATGAGGGTGCTCCAAGAAGCCTTCTCAGAGCCCCCAAATTGAGTCAAAGGCCCTCCTCCGATTCCCCTCAGCCTCCCAAACCTAGCCCTGACTCAGCCACTGCCCTTCATGGCCAGGACGCCCCCAGTGTTAGGACTTGGAGAAAATGCAAATAACCCAGGGCACGTCTAGAACCCTCGAGGCAGCACAGGAACAGTCTACACAAGATACAAACTGCCCGGCAGATATGGGGAGGAGATAGCACTTATGGCTGGGGGTGTCCTTTCTTTAATTTAACCAGAGGCTATGAAAAGTATAAAGTTTTATCTTTCTTTTTTCCTAATTTCAGAGCTCTTACATTAACGTGAAGGTTTATGGTTATCATTTCTGATCTATACAAAGAGGCACGCTCATTAAAACAACTGTCACAAGGGGCTAAGCCATGTTAGATCAAGTACATGAACCAAGGCAGTACCTCTAAGCAAGTCTGTGGTCCATACATGTCCCAGATTTTTCTTCTTCGGACGTCAATCCCTCTGCCTGGATGCTGAAATAATTAATTGTAGAAATCAAAGGTTAAGTTTTGTACATAATATGTTAAGAAGAATAAAACAAAGCTCTGCAGGCATTGCCACCAGAATGAACAGTGAGAGACCCTCAGCATCTGGGCTTGGCACAAGCACAGTTTCTCAGCTATTTGAAATAGATACTCACACCCTTCGTAAGTATATAAAAACCTGTGCTCCGCTAATGGCCATTTTGAGTGTTCAAGGAGAGAAACAGAGTCAAGTGACCACAATGGCCTTTAGTGTGGGAACATTTCCACGGCCAGTGCTCCTGAGAACTCACACTAAGAATGTGAGCCCACTCAGCTCTTAGTCGGAGTCAGATTCCTGAGCCCTTGTGCTCTTCCTGCACCATGGCGGTATTCCTTACTCTCACAGGGCAACCTAGAAGAGCAGGGGACACAAGACACCTCCCTCCTATCTCCAAGTGCAGGTCTCTAGGTCACCTCCTGCCATGATATGCTAACACCTCCACAGACCAGCTGTTTACATGTGTTATGAATACAAACTCACTCTTTAAAACACTTCACAAAGTGCATTTTCATAACAACCGTTTCAAGTTCCCACTGTTGTGGTCAAACATGTGTATCCTATAAGCAGAAAGCTATAGCAGGAAGAAAATCAGCTTGGGGTCACCAAGATTGGGTTTCCAATTCTAGCTGTGTCACCCTGCAGCATAAAGCTGCTCAATGCAGTCCTGGGTCAAGGGGCAATGGGACCTAATGCACTGGTTGGTCCAGGAAGGGTAAGAGCTGATGAGGGAAGCTGCCGACACAGGAGGCCGAGCTTGCTCGCGTGCGGCTCTTTTCTCAGTACGTGACTGCATCTACTGCATCAGTTGAACATCCAGAAAATGGGCCCAAAGCCTAGTACCGTGCTGCCTTACATTGTGCCTGTGCGTACACAACTGGTCCTCTGAACTGGAATTGAAGCTTCTCAAAGGCAGAATCCACCTAAACCCTTCACTTCCCACCAGTTCCTTGAAATGGTCGGTTTTTAAAAAAAAAATTTGACACATAGCCTGTCATTTTAAATGCCTAATTTAATCCTTTGGACCTTCTCTTGCAGTCCAATGAGATATGTATTTCCCTCATTTTATGTGCTGTTTAACAAATTAGCAGAACTTTATTCGAACTTTATTCAACTTCAAAGTCATGACTTTGAAGGCCCAGCTGACTTAGATCCAGACTGTACCAACAGAATATGATGCCAGGGAACCCTGTGCCCAACTTGAGTAACTGGACAAGCTACCAGAGAAGGTCAGGAGTCAGGCCTCACCCCTTCACTGCTCAGGATGTGGACCAGAAGCCCGTTGCCGCAACCCAAGTCAACAAAAGACTGCTTGGCAGTTACTCCCCTCTCAGCTCTTTCTTCTTCCCATAGAATCTTAGCAAAGAGAAAAAGAACAAAACAAAGCCAGTTGGTAATTCACTCTTTTTGCAAGTAATTCAGACACAAATTCCACCTGGGGCTATCAACAGATTAGGATGGAAAAGTCCCAAGGAAGGTGATACAGGCAAGGGGGCAGCCACTGAGTCCACCCTGAGGTGGCTGGAGTCAGCCCCATACTCTGGCCGGATGCAGTAAACACATCAAAGCTTTCTTTGTCCATCAAGAGTCCACAAGTGGTCACCTCAGGGTAAAAGCTGTATAGATTATTGTTAGTTTCTTTATGCTTTCTCTGTATCCTTTAAGTTTTATATGCTTTGATAATCAAAAACAGATGCTATTTCTAAACAGTCAAAGGGAAATATAAGTTCAAAGGAAACTGAAAAGTATCTAGTCTATTTAGATAACTTCTTTATTTATATAAGAAAATCGAGACTAAGGGAAGACCTCAGAGCCCCCAGGCCACGGCTTGAGATGTGCCCCTCTCCACACCAGCCAGTACCTCCCAGTCACCACCAGTCATGGACATACCAGGACATCATTACATTCATGCAGAAGTACCTCACAAAGTTAAACCATTCCCTGTGTAACCAAACTTGGAGAAAAGAGATGTAAACACTGTAAGTTACAGCTTTGGTATAATGCCCTTCACTGCTGGTGGCATCTCCTATGGCAACCCTCACCCACTCCAGATGAGCTTAGATTATAGACATTCTTACCAGCAGGTATGTAGCAATAGCCACATCTTCATATACGAACTTTTCAGGATCTGTTACTTCAGGCCACACCTAAAAATTACCAAAATTATTCTATTTCCCCACCATTTCTTAATCCTGAAAGTATCCCCGGAAAGCATTCATTAAACTAGACTAATCACACAATAAAACAAGTCTCATCAGTTCATTCGAATACACAATCCATGATCAGTTACTTACAATAAGAAATCTATATATCTTAGGATAGTACATGCTCAAGTTAAAAGAAAAAAATTTACATAAGGATACACAAAAATACGATGCTACTTCTATGCAAGAAAACACGCCATGGACAATACAATCCAAAGCAAGATTCTGCAATAAAGAAAATGTAAGAGGTTTAGATGAGGCATGGTGACATTGGGGAAAAACACCCCACTCCACTGTGCTATTTATGTACATGAGGGTAATGAACAGGAAATGGGGGGATGGGGGGATGGGGAGAAGCATCCCCCAGGGAGCAGGAGACCAGCACTTGCCCTCTGACCAGCAGTGCTCTGAAAGAGGAAGAAAGCTGTGCTCTGACTGTCATGCAGGGTGCTCACCAGGAGCTCTGAACCCTGTGCAGCACTAGTGGTGTAAAGGTAGGATCTCACTTTTTTTTTTAATTGTTTGGGATTGAGGGTACCAAGAGTTAGGTTACACTGATTGTGTTTGTTAGGTAAAGTAGGTGTCACGCTTAAAATCAGTAATGTACACAACTGGCATTTGGTAGAAGAGAAAAAAACCACAGTCAACGTTAAATGATGGAATTTCTATTTCTAGTCATAATGCATTAGATAATTCACATGAACCATCTAAAGATAATCTTAAAAGCTGGAAAATAAAAAGTACCTTCTTGAAAGCACTGAATAGTTGACCAGATAGTGAAGAACTACCCACCCAGGGCCTGAAGAGAATGGGGGTCCAGCCTCTGTTAGCCAACCCTGGGGAACCACAGTTGCTTCAGCAACAATGCGTGGTCATGGCGTTAAGCCCACGACTTTTGGGGTGCTTTGTAACATAGCAAGAGATAAAGTTTTAAAGAAATACATGGAAATGATAAACTATGGGTCCTTCTAAGAGAAGGGAGGCAGATGTGAACTAAGAAGTGGACCAAGGAGCCTCAACTACATTAGCAATGCTTTATTTCTCAGCATGAATATACAACATTGGTTGTTATATTCTTTCTACAACTTATATATAAAGTTAAAGCCATGTTATCACGAACTTTGTCTCCTTTTTGGAAATACATTCTTTTGTACCTTAATTTTTCATATATTTTCTTAGAATATCTTTAAGTCTATACTAAAGAATTATGGTAATTTAGTCATTTAATCAAGGCTCAATTCACTATAAATTAAATGTATTTCCCTTTAGTTCTCTTAAAAAATGCACAAAAAGAGATCCATTTCCATAACATATCTGCCTGTTTTTGTTTTTTGCACGACTAAGTATGTCAAAGTTCAGCATACAAAAAGTAACTCTAAGTGGGTATAGTTGGACTTGCTGTCTGCATCTGTACAAAACTAGAAGGTTCCCAGGAAAAACAATGTTACCAGGCAGTCTGAACATGCATCGTCTCCCTGGGATACTAGTATCCCTCTGGGATAGGATCACTATCATCCTATCATTTAAATAAGGAGGGGGGAAATCACAGATGTTTTCCACCAGAATTACCTTAACCATTTCTTTATACTTCTCCTTGAGTTCCTGGTAAGCTTTGCTGTATTTCATAATGGAAATGAGGGAAAGAGTGTTTTTAAATTCACTCCTTTTGTTCTCCACAGACCACTTGGCCAACTTGGCCAATAATTCTTCTCCAAGCCAGGGGGGTTTGGGATACAGAATTCCATCTGAATGCCATCCTTCTGGACAGAAAATTAAAACAGATATGAACCTTTAAAAGTAAGAGAAATAGGAATAAGCAGAGCTAGTTTTAATTCTCATTTTTAAATTATATAATTATTTACCAAAACAGCAGCTAAGACATTTATAATTACCAAACATTAAAAACACAAAACAATCAAACTAGAGAATTTTCATCTAATAGAGAAAAACACTTAAAAAGCACAACTAATCCCTCTTCTCTTTGCTAACTTTGCAAAAATGCACATACACAGCCTGTGACACCCATCAGATTGTCGAACAGCTAAAGCTCCTCCTTCCTTCTCCTTCATGCACAAACTAGCCAGATTCTAAAACATCTGCAGTTCCTAACATTTTTATTGTTTATGTATTTTCACATGTGGAACTGAAATATAGATAGACTGGTTCACAACATATTGACTTGTACGAAAGCTAAGGGCTCAGTCACAAAGACAAAGGACACACACAGTCCCTGTACAGGTCTATTTTTACTGGTCTGTTTTGTCTCTCGTGTGTCTTCCACCTTCAGGAGGTACAAGGACAGGGGTTTTGCCTGTTTTGCTCATTGCTACTCCCCAGCACCAAGCAGGACCCGGTACACACTAGGCACTCACTAGCTGCGTATTCAATAAATGAGTGGATGCTCACAACCCATGGGGTGGTTGGCAGAGACAAACATAGACCCAGATGACAATACATTGGCCAAGAGCTGCTTTTGAGAATCCCAGTGGAGGCAAAAGAGCAGTAAGTTTACCAGGCAGATGAGAGAAAACTACAAAAAAGGTAACATTCAATAGGCATCCCTAATAAAAAGAACTAGGCTGCTGGATGAGGGGCACAGCTAGAGAGGCCTAACAGGTGCACTGGGGAGAGGCGGCATGGAACCAGTGTGGCAACAACCACAAGCAGTAGGCAGTCTGGTGAGAGCTGGGATTCTCAGGTTTTCTGCACCACAATGCATCACAGGAACACAACTAAATCTCCTAAGATTCTCCAAAGAGACACACCCCTGAGCAGACCAGAGCCTCTTCCCACAGCCTCGCTGAGCTTCTGGCCTGTGAGGCCTGTGTCTCCTGATACTAACCTCAGTGGCCTCTACACATTCTGTAATACCATCTGCCCCAGGCGTGTCCCCTGCTCCACCCCAGGTGTGATGCTCTTCCCCAAGCAGCCTCCTCCCCCATCCTGCCTCCCTTCAACTGTTCCCTCCTCAGGTCTTCCCCAAGCACCACGTACATGAGGACAACACTGTCATCTCCAATGAGGGGACACAGGGCCAGTGTCCTGTTTACCTGTTTTAGTGTTCTTCACAGCACTACCTGGCCTGGGAGCATGTACTGTCTCCCCCATGAGACTTGCTCACCACTGTATGCCCAGTGCCCAGCACATGTCGGGCACACTACAGTGACCACCTCATTTGTGCTCATTTTAGAATGCAACACATCTGGCCTTGAGTTGTGCCCAGAGACTGCAAGTGACAGTTGCAGCTGGGCCGTGACAGGAAATACCAACTAAGAAAGACAAGAAGCAGCAGCCACATCCTCAGTGGCTTGTCAAAGAACAGTGAACGTGACACCAATGCAGCAAATGCACCCCACACACCTCCTACACCAGGTCCTGTGCTAGGTACTCTCACTACATTCAAGGAAACGGGTCACCTTCAGGGCCCAGTGACAAATAACTACAGCATTAGTACACACCAAGGTGACTGCCACAGGTAAACCTACTACTCGCAGTATCACTCTCACTCCCCACCTTGCAACACGAACTCACCGACAGGAAGTGACCTCAGAGTAGGTTCTCTTTTTTTTTTTTTTTTTTGAGACGGAGCCTCAAGCTGTCACCCTGGGCAGAGTGCCATGGCATCACGCTCACAGCAACCTCCAACTCCTGGGCTCAAGCGAGTCTCCTGCCTCAGCCTCCCAAGTAGCTGGGACCACAGGCACCCACCACAACGCCTGGCCATTTTTTTTTTTTTTGGTTGCAGCCATCATTGTTGTTTGACGGGCCCGGGCTGGGGATTCGAACCCGCCACCTTAGGTGTATGTGGCTGGCGCCTTAGCCCCTTGAGCCACAGGCACCGAGCCAGAGTAGGTTCTCTTGACAATTCTGGGCAACCACTAGACAGTTCCGAAGGGGGGGCTCTGTCCTGTGGGGCCTGAGTGCTTCCACCAAGCTTTGAACCTACAACAGGTCCCTGCAAGACTTAGCCCAGCCACCTCCTCAGAGGCTCAGGAATCATTAAGCCCATTTCATAGGTGAGAAGACTGAGGGCCACAAAGGTAGAGCGACACCCAAGACCATGCCGCTAGTGGGCAAACCCAGGTCTGTCTGACTCCAACCCAGGTTCTTCCTACCATATCCCGCTGCTTTCTAGGAAACCCAATGGGTGCAAACCCATTCTGGTCACAGACTCATCCCCAAGACTATTCTAGAAAGCCAAGCTGAATGTGACACTCAGGAAAACATCAGTCAAACAGTGATGAGTAAATTTACTCCGCTGACTTTTTTGCTTAAAATAAACAACAAATGGGCGGTGCCTGTGGCTCAAAGGAGTAGGGCACTGGTCCCATACGCCAGAGGTCGCAGGTTCAAACCCAGCCCCGGCCAAAAAAACTGCAAAAACAAGTAAAAGAAACCACAAATGGTATAAACTAAATTTTATACTTTCTGTACAGGTCCAGGTCCAAATAGCATATGACATTAAGGGTTCTTATAATATTAAACTGTTACTTTTATAATAAGCATCACTGAACATCCACTATAAAAAAGCATTACCTACCTCCTATTAACAAGTTACAAAAATAAAATAATAAAGGATTTGATCTTATTTGACCTGGGGCTGCTGACCATCAAGGGTATGTGGAAGGTAGACACTAGAGACTTTGGCCAGGCTGTGACCACCCAGACACAGGGATGGGCAGCAACAGGAAGAACAACATGCCACGCTGTGCCAACTCCTGAGCGTAGTCCTACAGGCCACACTGCTCAGCAGACAGGACCTGAAGCTCTTCAGAGGTCCAGAACCTTTCAAATACCTAAAGAAATAACAGATCAAAACCACAACACAGGGCAACAGGAATCGGCCATCAGTTCTTACCATTCTTCTTTGCAATGCCTGAGCTGAATTTGATATACATTGTTCATCTTAACCTTTAAATTCCCCTCATCATCTTCTTCCAGAGGTAAAAAAGTGACAGCTCCATTGAAGATATCTGGAAAAAAAAAGAGAGAAGGATGACAATTTCTAACTGCTTAGTTCAGTGTCTTATCAGAATCAGTATTAAAAAACAATAATGAGGCTTGGCGCCTATAGCTCAACCGGCTAAGGCGCCAGCCACGTACACC